AGCTTCCTAAAAAAGTATTGTAAAACGTATAAAAAAATTTTTTATCAATTGTGTAACCGATCTTCAAATTGATGGGATGGTTGCTCCTGTTATTTTGATTGGCTAATTATCACGGGAAATCACGGGTAGATCTACCAATCATATGAATGTCGTCCTATAAAGTAAACGGTGGTTTGGTCAGTATGACCTGTACGGTGATATAAGTTATAGTTATTGTATAGGTTGTAAACAATAACTAAATTTGCACAGGTTAACGTTACATGCCAAAGGCACGCAAATTTAGTTATTTTATGTGACAGATTAAAATGAAATCAGATTAAAATGAAATGGGAGATAGTGTAAAATAGACAAGCCACCGAAAAATACAAATTTTTGGAGTGCACTTTTTTAGCATTTTTTTTAGAGTTAGGATTAAGGTTTAGGGGTAGGTTTTATAATAAACAAGTATAAGTGGGTTTTAGGAGAGCAAATAGAAACCTCTCATTTCATTTTAATCCGATTTCATTATGATCCGCGACAATATCTATGCACGGTGTCTGACGTACAATCCCGTGAAAAAGCATGGGTTATTATATAAGAACCGTGCAATAATAGATAGTACGATACGGAAATGCAAAATTAGGACGCGTAGAAATCATGATAGTATGTTGGATTGTAAAAGAAAAAATTCGTCAAACCAAGTTACTTTTCATATTAACTCCAACATGAAACAGGACAATGCTAGCGCTTACCCTAACCCTAACCATTAAAATGGTTACTTATAAAACTCGAATTTTGCAAGTCTGTATTAACCGTAAGTACGATCAAAATTTGGGGCAATTTTCGTATCTCCGTCCAACCTGTACCACCGTACAATACTAAATTGTACCGGTACGTATCAGTTAAGGAACCAATCTTCAACCACTCCACTAAATTAGACTTACTCAAATGTTTTGCTCCGGGTTGCTCCATAGTGCTCCGAGTTGCTCCAGGTTCCAAATTTAAAAACAATTTTAAACCCACTCCAACTTTCATAGGAAGAAGTTCGTCTGATTGGCTGATGTAAATCAATTGCCCGGGTAACTTATTTATATGTTTTAAAGTACTTTTTAAGAACGTGACGTTTCACTAACAAAAATTCGTCGCAAACACCATTGACAGCTCTAGAAGAACGTCTTTATTCACTATGCAAAATAATCCAAAAATAATCCACCAACTGAAAACTTTACTTAGAAGACAAAATACTCTTGTCGTTTATTGGACCATGCCAAAGGACGCTTAGATTGAGGTAACTGAATGCGATTTTGTTCAAAACTGTCTTATTATATTAGATTTGAATAAACTTTTATTCTTAACTATTGGGTTTTAATAGGAATAAGCTTATATTAGAAGAAGTTTCAGGTTTAACACTTGACTATGTTCTGTTTTGCAGTACGTTTGGGTTTATTCATCGTTAATGGGTTTTGGTTTATAGATTGTATATATATTGTATTAATAAGTTTGGGTTTATAAATAAAAAATACCACTTTTACTCTGCTTTACGTGTATCTACCTATTCTTTATGTATATGAGATTAATTAATTCTTTGGTATATGAATGAATTTATAAGCTTCTTTCGTGAAGTTTTTTCGTTTCTTAGTATATCATATAACGAACAAATCGTTAAATTATGTAATTTGATTGGTTAATTATCACGGGTGATCACATGTAGATCCATAAAAATTAGCCAATCATATGAATTTCTTCCTATGAACTGTAACCCGAGACCGACCCTCTATTTGCACCTTCATCTGAGATATTATTTTTAGTTGCCGATACAATTAAGATATTGGAAACTTAAGAGAAATATTACTTACCAGATATACACACCTCACTGCCTTACCTACTATCAACTTCGAATACCAAAATGTCTTTGACCATTACATTGATTTAGCTTATAGTTTTGGATACGAAGAACCAGGACAATACGAAAGATACTTTGAAAACCTAGGACCTTCCATACAACATCAACCAGATGAAGATTATAGTTTTAGTTACCAAGACCAATGAGTTATTCTAAGAACCCCATCTCCTCCTAGTTTACCCTCCTACCAAGATGAAACAGATAATTCTCACTATCAACCTCTCCAACATTCTCCTTAAAATATATTTGAAGTATCTCAAGAACAATTTATTGAAGTAGACCTTGTCTCTCTCCCAGAAGTACATATAGAAGAACATCCCTTAGAAAGAGAAGAGGCTCCACCTCCAGGAAATCTAGATCAAGAAAATAATTCTGACTCTGATAGTACTGTCCAAGAAATCTTTACCCCAACCGAAACCTTTGAATTACCAGAAAACTAACAAGAACAACTCAACAATAACTTACCTCTATCTGAAGCGAATCTACTATCACCGAACAACTCAAAGAAAACCCATTACCCCCTCCAGAACAACCTGAAGTTAACTTACCACCACTACCACCTGTAACACCTCCACCTGTAGTACCATCCGTAAACATGGTTGACGCTACTCTTAACAATGCTGTCCTAGCTATGACTAACCTGGCCAATGCTCTTGCGCCAGGTAGTGAAAAGTTCTTCCTCAAAATTGATTTCTTTACTGGCGATGGAAAACAAGACCCTATAAAATGGTTAGAAAAATTTGAACAAGCTGCTATTGCTAATAACTGAAATGCTACTCGACAACTTGCATTTGCCCCAGCCTATATGAAAGAGATTGCTGCTAAATGGTTCTGAGGTTTTAATCCAGTATTTAATGCTTTCAAGAATGAACATGCTGTAGATCAAAGCTTCTACCATCTCTTCAAAACTAAGTTCAGCTCCACCAATCAAAAGATCAAATGGCAAAAACAATTCTTTGACATCAAGCAAGAAACAGACTCAGTTGATGCCTATATAACCTACTTTAAGAAATTACAAGCCTGTGTAGACCCTACTGATGCTTTTCCTGATAATTTTATCCTTTAACTTTTTATCCAAAGACTTCGACCCAAATATGCTATTGGAGTTTAAGCTGAAGGACCTGCTGACTTGGATGCTGCCATCGATGCTGTTCTTAATTGCGAAAATAGTCAACTTATATCCTCACCTACTACAGACACAGACCAAGCTATCAAACAACTAACTGACCAGATAGCTCAACTTAGCATTAACCTCACTTAACAGAAGCCTGTATCTACCTCCATACACTATGCTGAAAACCCTACAACTGCTAATAGAATCAGACAACCACCTATCTGCCATTATTGTATACGCATTGGACATTTTGTTGCCCAATGTCGTACTAAGCAGAAGGATCAATCACGATCACGAGACAGAAGCCGAGATTGTTACAGTAATCGAAGAAATGATTGATCTAGAAGCCGAGACAGAAATTACTTCAGATCTTTCGACCGAAGTAGATTGAGAGATAGGAATAGATCCAGAAGCCGTAATAGTTATCCCTGATATCAAGATTATTTTCAAGAATGAGATAGCTACTACTCCTATACTGACAACTTTAGACGATCTTCTAATCACTTACCTTCTCCTTACCATCATGATGTCAACTACCTCGACCAAAATTCTAAACCCTCATCACCCATAAGCCAAAAGAAATGGGAAACCCTACTAGACAACCCCTTTATCCGAAGTGCTCTTTCTGCCCACTTAAGTCAAGAAGCAAAATCTCATATTACTACTTTTGAACCAACCACCACTCCTGTCAAATGCAATATTAAAATTAGAAACAGACTCTACCAAGCTATTGTAGATAGTGGAGCATCTATTAGTATGATTGCTCATAAAGTAATTCAAGAATTAGGACTTAAAATTGAACAAGCCTCAACTAGCCTTATTATCTCTACTACTGGAACTTCTTCTTAACCTCTGGAAATTATTCGAGATCTGCCTATTCAGATCGAAGAAGCAACCATTCCTATTACTATTGAAGTAGTTGCTGCTACTTCCTATGCTTTACTTCTTTAAAATGACTGGTCCAAGAAAGTTGAAGCCAGTTACAACTGAAAGAATAGTTGTTACTCCTTTAAGTGAAAGAATTACAAGTATCATACTTCAACTACCTATGAAAATAATCAACTACTACCTGCCCAACCTACCATAACCAACCCAGAAGAGTTAGATCTATATGACCAAGAATATCTAACTTCTAAAGAGGCTTATACATTTGGTATCAGCCTTAACCTAGACATAGACAACGACCCAAATAACTGGACCATTTATCAACCTCATCGTCATACTTGAACTCTCACTCGAGTATATGGAAATTGTGGTTTACCAGCCCATCTCTTCGCTGAATGTTCTACTAACTGCTGCAATTGTTGCAAAGGAATTGGATATATTGCAGTATATTGCTCTTTACAAGCTCCATAACGAACCTCTTGCTGAACCTGTGAACAAGACCACCTCTACTGAAGCTGCCCTAATAATAAATGTCACAAATGTGATAAATTCAGACATATTGCTGTAGATTGCTCTATGGTTCTCTACGAAGACAGAACAAGACATACCAGTATGGCTGTGACTCTAATGAAGTAGCTGTCTAGAAAGTCTACTACCACAGCAACAAACAGATCCATCATTGTTGCTGATGCAAGAATCCAGAAAGATCAGAATGCCTTAAAGTTCTCGATAACCAATTAGTATGCTATGTATGCTATGTTGACTTTCATCATGATTTGGATCGAAATGACCTTAGAAGTATTCATTTCTATACCAAAGGTAAAGGCCAAGGAACTCTTAACACCTGCAAGATCTGCCAGCATTCTAATGCTTGATCCAGAATATATAACATTGAAAGTATCACCAAAGCTCTTTGCTTCTACAACCTCGAACATATGTACGTATACAAAGCTAGCCAAGATGTCCTCTACAACTACAACTGCAACCTCTGAACCTGGTTTCAACATTATACCACTTCTATCAGAAGTGCTGGATCCTAATATGAAATGAATCAGACACGTATCTTCTGACTTGCAAAGATCTATTTGCAAGAAAGTGACCAAGACATAGCCGAAGCATTAGAACCTCTTATGACTGACCGAACTAATCAGTCATGGAATAATAATGAAATGAGTCTCATCCTTCATGCTGAACAGGATCTACTAACTGAAGATGAAGAGTCTCAGTTACAAGTAACGCTTAACTAATCTTTTGACACTAGCTATCCAGATTTTTGTAAAGAGTTAGCTCTTGCTAACCTGTATCGAAGCTTTACCAACCCTGTTGACCTTTGTAAAGAGTGCCTGCATGTCAAGCATCAAATTGAACTTGAACAGTATAATGGAATCTGTACTGACTGTGCCACAGTATCTTCTTCTATATTTAATCCAGAAGAAGCATCAGAAGAAGCACCAGATTAGCCTGCTTTCAACTCTGATACTCCACTTGAGGAACCCAAATCTAATAACCTGCCACCTGAATCTCGACCTGCTACCCCTGTAGTAGAAACAAATTCTAATACTTTGATTATTACCCTGAACCAGACATTACCTTATCTTTATTGTTACAACTCCAACAACAAGTAGCTTATCAAAGTCAGCTTATCGCACAGCTGCAACAAAAGGTTGAAACCCTTGAGAATTTCAACCAACAGCTTATGCAACTATGGAGAGAAGATAATCA